TATTTATACAGAAGGTACGATCACTGTTATTACACCAACACTTGATTTTGTTCATTTCAGTAACGTACACGAATCCAACAATTTGTCAAATCATAACAGGTAATATGAGTAGTTAAACTATAAAAAAATAATAGTTTTTAGAACCCTCACAGTAGACATACCTTATATTATCTCAAATCAAAGTTTTGCAATCAGATTAACCAAAATCTCCAAGTTTTTTTAACACAAAAAATGTCTGATCCGAAATTGAAAATACTATGCATTTATAAATACAATATATTTATGCCGGTCTGGGTGGTACTGATAAATTAATTTAATATAGTTACTCGCATACAAATTTATTAAAAAAAGCGTTACACAATTTATTCAAATGAAAAAAAAAATTTAAATAATTATTTTTAAAACTATTCGAATAAAATAAAATATTTCTATATAATATACTGTTTTTATATATTTCCTAAATGTAGAACATATTAGAATTCTACGCAATAATATTTCCAAACACAATTTCTTGAAAAAAACACTTACAAACTATTTAAATAATATTTTTTAAAATAATTATCCGTGTTATTTATTTGTTCAAATGAAAAAATTGGATATTATTCGAATAAATCTTTCTAAATCTAATCGAATAAGTCTTTTTGAATAAAAAAGTTATATTTCTATATTTGAGGCGCTCAGATTCTAAACCGATTAACTCCACTTTTTTTAAAATTTCGAATAATAGTATGGTTGGATTAAAAATTAGTAGGGGTACGCGAAAATATCTAAAAAACGGTTTATAAACCGAATGGTTTGCAAGGCTCTATTCAAGGTTTTCACATAGGTATTACATATTGTATTTTAACAGCTTGCGTACGAGTCCGCAACACCACGGCATACATTTTTATGTATCTAAGGTGGCTAGTAAATATATCAAGTTTCTGGCTAATATTTTAGTGTTTTTATAATATCTGACCCAAAACAATTCATAGAGAATTCGGCCCCTTAAATTATTGAATTTATTATTCATTTCTATTTTGAACGTCGTGAATACAACATATATGCTCCTACCACATTCCCACCCACAACCGCAACCCTCATCTCTTACCCCCTATCTATCACTCCCTATCTCTCAACCCTATCTCAAACCCCCTAACTTTCATCCCTATCTCACACCCCTATCTCTTACCCCTATCTCTCATACCTATTCGCACCCCATTCCCACCCTGAACCCTTATTTCTTACTTTCTATCTCTCACCCCTATTCTCACCCCAACCCTCATCTCTTACCCCCTATCTCTCACCCCCAATCAGCTGTTATTTTTCTTTGTGATAACCGGTGTCGGTGTCGTTTTTCCGCGTGTGTGCGATAGCAAAGACATAAAAATGTCAAAAATTATAAAATGTATGTGTCACACACTACTATTGAACAAAGTTTAAATTACAAAATAACTCACAATATAAAACCAGTTATGAACAACAGCTATTTCATTAACTTATTAGATTGAGAATAAAGTACTAAAAATGTTGACATGTCGATAACCAGTTTTGGATAATTATTTTTAAAGTTATTGAAATGTCAAGTTTAGGGCAGAAGAAAAGGCGGAGTGTAGTAATATTTTTATCTACGTCTATCCCCCCGCCTCCTAACTTTTAAAATCTAAAATTAAATTTAATATTATTCGATTATTGTTTTTATATATTTATTCGAATAATTATTTTACAAGTTAGTCGAATGAAATATATTAATATATATTTTTAAAAACTATTCGAATAAAAAAGAATTTGAATAACTTTTACTCGAAAAATTTGGTATTTAAATGTTAGACTTATGTAATGTCTTATTCGAATGATGCACTACTCTAAATTTGTACTCCGTGATTTGGGCTACTTAAATGGCAATCGAATTTAGAAAATATTAGAATAATAGAATTTATGAAGTCCTTTAATAAAAAATAGAAATTATTTGCTGTTTTCATAACAATGACGTGGGCAAATTACTTAACTCCTGTTTTACAAAAGACCTACCTAAAGTGTGAGAAATTTAAATAATATACAATAATTTCGGATAAGGACAAATTTAGGATGGTCATTTTTTAAAAACATTATCCGGAAACAAACACACCACATTGGTTTTCTACATTCTGTTTCTTGAGTGAGATGATAATATATTAATATTTTTTGTATGATTATCCATGTTAGGGTGGTTGACAGGTTTCCTTAATAAGGTTTTGGTATATAGATGGGAAAATGACGGATTTGTGGATAAAAGTAATCTGATACCAATATTTAAGGGCAAGGAAGATGTGCAGGAGTGTGACAATTTTAGAGGTATAAAACTGATTAGTCATAGTATGAAGGTTTGGCAATAGATTGTAGATAAGAAAATATCGAAGAATCAATTTGAGTTTATGCCAGGGAAATCAACTATGGAAGGACTAGGGTGGCCGACCCCATGTAATTGGGAGTGTAAGGCAAAAAAGAAGAAGATATGGACTATCCATGTTATAGTTCTAGAATACTCCAAAAAGTATCTTTACTGCAATTTTGTTTAAACACATATTTTATGTATTACTATTGAATTTGACATTATACTGTTTTTTTTTAGGTATTGATTGAAAATGACTAAGCTACAAGTTTTCTGTTTAATTGCGGTTACTATTTGCATTGTTATAAACAATATAAAATGCGCAACGCAAGACGGTACTACCTAAATATTTGAATCATATTTTATTAAATTTTTTTAGTATCGTTGCGGAACTGAGATTTATAAGACTCATATTTATCTCTAACTATATCAATTTTAATTAAACGCTTCGATGCAAATTTTGGCACACTTGACCCTTTAACACTTTCTAAAAGTGCTTAGTTTGGAATGCAATGGATTAAACATACTACCTACAGATTCGCACCAAAGCATTTATTTAAGAGGATTTTTATCACTTTCAGCTATAATAATTACTGTAGAACTGTGACCTCACTGACAATTTGATATTTTACGAAATTATGATAATATAATTTATTATTCCAGAATGCCGTGTTAAGATTTGTAAGACCAGTGAGTTAAAATTATTGTTATTTTTTTTAAAGTCATTTAGGCAATTTTAACGTTATTTCATTATATGGAATTGAAAATTTATTCATTTGTGTCGTTATATTGTGTTACTTTTTGTTGAACTATTTTTGTTTCAAATTCATTAAATAATTTAACGCTTTGTCCTGATCACAAACAAATTAAATTGCCTGTAAATAACTGCCTATATTTTTTTACTTAAATTTAATTTGAACTGACATGTATATATAATAAAAATACTCTATACTTCCTTATTTAAACTATTTTAGCAAAGTCAAACATTTATAAAGTAAACGTGACTTAAAAATTTAACTTTAGTCAAGGGGGCTCCATACAGACCATTTTTAAGGAGTTTTGTATAGGCAATATTTAAGAAAAAATTGGCTTAAATAAATTTTGACAATGTCAATAAATTGACCGGTTAATTTGTATAAGCTTCAAGGTATTATTTTTAATTTAAATCATTTTGTCTATGAGTAAAAGTCATTTTAGTCAATATACGATACATTTTTTGTTCCATCGCACAGGTTCAACCACTAATCTGATAAGTAATATGAAAACAGATTTGAATTCGTCGTGAAATGTACTTGAGATCGGTTGACGTACATTTTTGATATATTATTCCTACTACTTTTAAAAACAAATATATATATTTATATATATATATATTGCAAATAAATTTATAAATATAGTTATTTATTGCATCAGTAATAAAAATTAAAGAGAGGGGTGGGTAGAGAGAATAAGAGCCTAGCACGTTAATGACTAATTATGCCAAACCTTCATACGAAAGGGACTTCGTTCCAAACGCGTGTCCCGTGACACGAACGAGTTTTTTTTTGTGTATCCAGCCTTTTATGATCGCTTTGACTACATTGTTTATTGTATTTGTTAATTATGTAAAATTTGTTTTGTTTTTAGACAACAAACTTAGCATTTTAACTGACAGTGAGTGTTTATATATTTAATAATATAGTATATTATAATTAAGGAAAAAAAAATCATTTTACAGGAAATATGAAGTTTGGCAAAAAAAACAAAAAATAGGCACAATCTAAACTGTAAACGGCGCCATACGTTTAATATAATAAGGCAGAATTCTATCTCAGCACGTTTAGATTTTCCTGTTATTTTAACCAATTTCCTGCATTTATATTGTTAATAATTGAAAATACTACTATCTAATCCATAATGATCACATCATAATTATTATATGTATGTCTCCTAAATTAGTACAGTATGCTATAACTTACAGTATGAGCTAATTTTCTTACTACTACTTAACTATCATTGTACTTAAAAGATGGATGTTAGGTCATGTACCACTTTTAAACGTGCTCTATCTCTATCTTTCGACAATACCTTCATTTCATTGTTAATAAAAGTCATAATTTTCTTCTTCTCCTTAGTTCATGGCCTAATACTTCTTCTGCGGATCTTTTGACTGCAGTTTCCATTTATTTTCCAAATGTAAATTATATCCGTAGGTAACATTATCTGAGGCATCTAACTACTCAATTATTTTTTCTTTGTAATCTTTGGCCTAGTTTCCTTTCAATATTTCTTTGTTAATTTTCTGTGTACACTTATCATTATTAATACGTCGTTTGTGCTTAATCTAATTCGGTAGTCTACCATTACATGATCTATTTGATCTATACGTGTTTTAAATATATTTTGACTTTGTAGATTAGTTTGTGTTAGCTTTAAAGGTATCGGTTTAATGTATGCAATTGTTTTCATGATTTATTTAGTCATTTTTGTAGTGAAAATAACACATAACACACCTTTGTTAAAATTCCCTAAACTTCTTCAACCTCCACTAAAATTATAGACTATCTGTGCTATGTCTACCTCACTTTAATGTTTTATTAAATATTGAATTGTAATTGCTAAGTTTATTTAACGAATTTATTAATAATTTGTTTTTGTTCTTTGATTCCAGATCAAAAATACCAACTGGTCAACGGTCTCATTCGTGCATACTCATATGGTATTGTTATGTGTAAATTAATATTTTTGTTTTCAGTAAACTCGTTTTTACAATATTAGGCTATTAAATTGCCATTGCTTACCGTATAGTTTTGTTGTACTATCAATACCGTTTGTCATGTTGTACACTTTATCAGTACATTTAATCGTTCATTTAAAAATTGATGTCTAAGGAACCGTTAAATTTGTATTAATTCATTAAACGTTCACGCAACTCGCATGCACTAATTTTTTTTTTTTTAAGCAAATTATTTGTGTTTTTTCAGCGCGAATTCAGGTTTTGATTTTTCCGCCAGGTAATTTACAATTGTTTTATATGATTAGGTAATATCATAGACCTGCAAAGTAGTGAACTGGACCTACCACAATGCACCTCCAATTCTAACTTTAAATTTAAATAACAATTAAAGAAATTATTAAAAACTGGTTATCGACGAGTCTAAATATTCATCAAATTTTTCTGAATAATATATATAAAAGTTATTAAAAACCGAAAACAGTTATTTGCGATAAAAAAAACCTCGTTTTTATTTTATAGTGCAAATGAGTATAAATTTATTTAAAAAACAAATCTTACACCATTCACTAGAACAAGAGTTATCTCATTTTTCTAATCTTTGTGAGACACCCTGTATTAGACAGTATTCTTTAAGACGTTGTTAGTAATAATGTGTATAATATATATATTATTGTAAGTTATTACTATTAGGTATGTTGGAATGAAAATCCCTTACAAATCTGTATCCAAGATTGAAAAAATTGATTAGTTTTTGTGATATCACCTTTTCAGTTCCTCTTTCAAGCTATACCTAATATGTATACATGTATATAATCAAAATCACAATGTTTAATGATAATACAAATTATATTACTATTAATAATATACCTATGATCGATGTTAAATGGTATAAGATGATACGACTTGCCGATGCATGATATTCTCTTTATCTGATCTTATTTTTACTTAAATTGTGCGTCGAATATCAAGTATTATTGTGTATGTTTTCTAGTACTAACGTGTATTTGACTTTTATTACATTTCATTAACAGTACACATTTATAACTAACAAACTATTTAGAGGATATCCGTAATTCTACATGTTAATATACTAAAGATGTAGTTTTAAATTGTTTTTTTTTTTCTAAAATTACCGGTGTTATTATTATTCAATTAATATTACAAGCTGGTAAATTTATATCAAAACCAAATTTGATTAAACACAAAATGTACATAAAAGTTTCATTTTTTAATTAAAAAGATTTTGTCGATTACTTAAATATATATGGCACGTATTAACAGTATCATTATAAAATCGAATCTTTTTTTTTAGTTCCTGCGTTATTGGTAAACAGAGGCAGGGCGAAAGGTAAAAAATTATCGTCTGCATAACTTATAATTAATAGTAACTATGATTATTAATGACCTTTTTTTGTGATATTTTATGTTAGGCAGTGAAATTTTACATAAAATGACACATTTTAATGGGGATTTAATGTTTTGATTATAGCTTTTGATTTAGTAATATCCCAAGAACGGGATATACTATACTTTGTTACAGTACAAGAGCCAACAATTGATTTAAGTGGTATGTATAACAGTTTTCTCCAGAACAATTATTTAGGTAGTATTTGAGTGAATATTACAGTTGTACAATGTGCTTAAATAAGACCATATTAATAATGGTCAATTGAAAAAGTTGAAAATTCTTATTTATAGTTTACATGGTATAATTTTAATGTTAAAAATAAAACTAAATACATCATCTGTATGATATTATAGACCCAATTGACTATGACACGGCAGTAAACAACAGACATACGCTGATACATAATATATTCCACCATGTTCTACATCGTCAAATGAGTAAGCATTTTTATAATATTTATCGCTATTTTTAAAACGTCGTTACAACAAAACTTTGGCCTATACCTAACCTATCTATGCGTATGTTGGTATTTAGTATGGGTAAACAATAAAAACAAAAATACGTTTAAATGAGTAGAACAATGACTGTAGTCTAAAGTCCAGCAATAGCAACCACATGATTCAAGCAAAAGCTAATGTATTTATTTTTTAACACTTAGTTAGATTCGGAATATTTTATATACTTTTTATTATTTCTTGTCATAAATTTGTAGTATTTAACGATTTTATTTCTATTCAATAATTATTATATTGTATGGTTTCAGATGACACCCGAATGTGCAAGAATGGCGAAAGCACAAAATGCAAATTGCTCGGGATAATAACGCGTGCATTAAATCCTGGGTTTAGATATACACAAGGATGTAATGAAGTATTAAATTGCATTATAGTGTTTGAGGGGACGATTACGGCAGACGGCGTTTTGCCAACCTACGAGACACGAATGGAGTATTATGTAGATCTGCTACTTCCGTCAGGATTGTATAAAACAGAACTGGAGAGAGTTACAGATTTAATCTAAATGTTTCGATATCAATATACAAGTATATTCATTAATAAACTATTATTATAACCAATACCGTCGTCGTATATCTGTTATTATTTCGTACATTAGGAAAAACACCAGCACCGCACCGGTTGGATCAAAGGAGAATTTAGAAATCCATATAAATAAGATGTTAGACAATAATAGTGACATTCTATCCCTTAACTGGTATTATAGGTTTCAAGAATAAGCCAAGAAAAATATTTGTCGCTCTTATCGAATATACTTGATAAAACTAATGGAAAAATTACGGAGTTGAGCGAAAAATATGGCATATCAACCACTTTTGTAGACCATTTAGATATGATTGAATTTAAAGCATTCGTCGGTTTACTTAGGACATGGATATGTCTTATAGCTAGGTAATATAAATAAGATGTTAGACAATAATAGTGATGTTTTAACCCTTAACTGGTATTATAGGGTTCAAGAATAGGCCAAAAAAATGTTTGTTGCTCTTATCGATTATATTATCAACTTATTTTTTGATAATGAAATTTCACAAAATGTGTTTGATAAAACTAATGGAAAAATTACGGAGTTGAGCGAAAAATATGCCATATTTTTTGCTATGATAATTTTACATTAATTTTATAAAGTTTAAATTTGGTTCTTTATAAAAACAAAAAAAGAGGTGACTTTTTATTGAAAAGTATATATATTTTATTCATTAAAGCTCATTAAATGACTTCCATATCAAATTTCAATATTAGGCCATATGATTAAAACTGTCTAATCATACAGCAATCTGAGACATATCTTAGATATTGAAAGAGAATTTTTTTTCTTGTCTTAGGGATCCAAAAGAAATCTTTCATTCTTTAAACATTTTTTATAATTTGTGACTTTGTCGATGCCCACCCTTGTTGGGGCACTGCTAAAAAATCGGCTTATATCTTCTTATGTACACAAAAGTGTACTGCTGGTTGTTTTTTTATTTTTCACTATTTATCTCACGTTTTCTGTTTTCATTTTCTTTTACGAAATGTCTAGATTCTTCTGCTTGCCTTGAGTTAAGCAAGACGACAAAAAAGAAAACGGGTACATGAACTAAATAACAAAAGAATAGAATTTGGGGAGTTTCACCGACTATGCTGTATTCTCAACGTTCAAACTAGAACTGAACTAAATTGAATTCAATAATTTGAGAGGTCATTTTTTTATGAATTGTTTTAAGCCAGATTTTAAACACTAAAATATTAGCCAGAAACTTGATGTTTTAATATACTAGCCACCTTAGGTATTAGCTTGTTACTGCTTGTTAATATACTATATCATTATCTACCATTATCTATAATTCCACTACTACTTCAAATTTATTTGGTACTTCAACGAGACATGAAAATGCTCATTCGTGGTTGCAAACTCGGCTGAAAAATTGTATTAAATTTTACATTTTTGTGAAGTGTTGATACCAGTCTTTTGTCGAATTTGTCCATTTTTCTGTTTTTTTTATAATCTGGATGCCACGTATCACACAAATAAACACATTCTCGAACTAGATCAATCAATCGTTCCGTTTCATCGGTCATTTTCAGTGCACAAATTTAAAATAAATTTTTTTTTTAAATTAATTACGATATGTTGTCATCAATATTGTTTGTATATTTTATGTTCGATAATTATATAATAATATTTTAGAAGTGCTGATACGTGTGGAAAATCCAGTGTATTGTCTATATTAAATATATATTATATTTTTTTTATTTTACAAAATTATTCCAGTCCGCCGCGAACTTTGTGAAAAAATACAACCATCAGTTGTAGGCCGCGGTCTGTTTAACCAGAAAGATGCATTTAAATAGAGTACAGAGTACGCGGCGGACAGTCTGCTTTCTGTTTGACCGATCCTTTATTCGTCTATCCATCTTTTCTTAGGTCTTTTTCCCTCTACACTCATCTTTATAACACATCTCACTGCCTCTGCCTCTGCCTTATCCCTTCTCATAACATGACTGAACAATCTCAACCTATTCTCTTTCATTTCCCTCACAATTGGTTCAACTCATAGACTACCCTTAAGTATTCATTTTTTATTCTATCCACCCTAGTCACTTCAATCGTCCATCCTAACATTCTCATCTCCACTACACTTGTTCTATATTCAGTTTTCTTATCTACGGCCCAACATTCCGACCTATATAAAGCAATAGTTGGTATAAGAAACCCAGGGTTGTTTATATTATATTATATTTAGGTACCTATGTCATTTGGGACTTTACGTTTTTATGCTTGACTATTATGTATCATTGGTTGACTTTATTTCCTAATACGCATTAACTTTCTATAAACACAAATTATCCTAGTGCTGAACCTATTTTTCTGTTGTTTGATACATTTACTTAGTTTGCATATTAGTATATAACCTAGGCTTTTACTATGTATAATTGTCAGTCGGTCAGTTTGTGTTTATCTATGATACAGTTCATTATTACGGTCAACCATTGTCTATTTAAGTGCTTATTTTATTATTATTAAAGAGATTAACTTATCTTTATAAAGTGTTAATTATTTCTGAGTATATTTTCATCCTTATAACAAAAAAGGTAGAAGTATTAAGAAACAAAAAAAGCCAGTACAGTGGGGTCGGGGCATAGTGGGGACGGAATGGTCACAGGTCTACAGATTTTATTATAACTGAAAGTGATGAATCACTTTTAAATAAACGCTTTGATGCGAATCTGTGGATAGTATGTTCAAACCAGTTATAGCGGCTTAGAAGATATCGTGGGACCAGCAAAAATGTACTTAAAATTTATTATTACTCTTGTGCAGGGTGGGTACGATAAGGTTTGATCGTATGTCTATAAAATTGTACTGTCATAGTAACCCATTTATCATTATTAACAAAATAATGAAAAAATTTCATTACCTGTTGACTGTTGGTTCACACACACATAGCAACCTAGAAACTGACTACGGCCAAAGTGTAAATTAACCCTATTTTTGGAGTTTTTCCTTAATAAAAAAAAAAAATTAGACAACAGATTTTTGAGAAAACCGTATATGTATAGTTCCATTTTAGATCTACCTTTGGTCTAATTTTCAGATCAAAATCTCTAAAACTTTGGTTGAAAAAGTGTAATAAAGAATGAAATTCTATTTCTTCTAA